AAAACATAAACCTGTGATTTTTTTTTCCATCTCATCTAATTTGTGAAATTTACTGACAACCTACACCACAGATCTATACTTAGTTCAGTCTCAATATTAAATTCCTTTAAAATCCTTCCTGAATCAGACTACCTTAATCCACAGACAGAAGTACTGTACATGAATGAGCTTTAGTGTGGATTATATAGTCTGCCACTGAATCATCTTCCATGAAGGCCGATAATTCTTTTCCAATCAACTCACACAACACACTACCTAAAGCAACGCATAGACAGGCATCAATTTAGCTTCAGCTTCAAAGCTTTAAATAACACACTACGTAGGATGCGTTTGAAGATTGAAAGCTACCAGAAACAAACGATACTTGCTTCAAAATAATCAAGAATTCCTCGATAGTATTTTTGCTGAATTGAAGCACTAGCTAGGTTTGTCCTCTACTTAGCATTCATGTCATACCCTCAGATAACCTCAAATGTGTAACCTCAGGCTCCACTTCAAGCCAACGTAGACAGCTGGATACCCAGCGAAATCTCAAATCATTGTAGGGATCAAGTGCAGGCATTTTCTGGAATATTTTAAATAGCTTGGTTGTTAGTATGTGGTAGAGAAATAAATAGAAGGAATAGATTTTTCTTAAAAAAGGCTATATCTGATTTTATGAATATTCAAGAATTTCACTCCATAGGTAAGAATGTCAGTTTTTTTTAATATGGGTAACAGTTTGTTAAGAAAATGTATGTGGGTCTCTGACAGCTCTGGCAAATACACACAGGAAAGAAAATAGGGAGGGGGGGGAGAAAGAGAAAACAGATAGGTACAGACTGGCAAACCCAAGCCTTGGCTATCATTGGGTTTGCACTGGAGTACAGTACTCCTGTAATTTAACCAGCTAAAGCCCCGATTTGCTCAGTCCCATTCACACTACCTGTTAATCCACTTTAATAAGCTAATTTATGCATTTTAAAGCCAAATGACGGCAGAATTTGCATCAATCCTAAATACCAGCTAAAGTAAGCCTCTTTGCCAAAGCATACGAGTGTCCCAATATATTACTAAAGGTGCAGTAATATGCTTCATTATTCACATGGCTTACTTGAGACCATTGGATCCAGTCTGACAGCAAGCAGCCTGTGATCGCAGGCACACCCGGATAGATGCCTGACAGCCCAGGCACAAAGAAACTCCGCATTGCTGGATCAGCAATTACCTTGGATTAACAGGAGTGTTTATAAGTCTTCCAGAAGTAACGATTATATAATATTTTGCAGGTTGTACACTTTCTTGCGTAACACAATGATATGCAAAAAAAAAAGTGCATCAAGACAACACCGAAATGATCTATCCCTTGGTTGTCCCTCCACGAAGAGGCTTTACGTAGCCTGGAAAACAAAAATATTCAGGAGCCAAATCTTTGATTTATTTATTTTTGATATCTCATTGTGCAAAGCAGTTGCAGCACAATGTTATTTCTGAATAGACCTCGAGCAGCCAGTTCTACCCCACAGCACAATCAACGCAAACAGCACTGCTGATCGCCATTGTTCACGGTCTCGTGCCTTTTTCCCCAGCGAGTTCTCATGGTAACCCAAGACCCAGGAATGTCGCCACATTTCCCACCGAGGCTCAGCTGTAGCTGACTTTCCCTTTAAAGCTTAAAGAGCCACACATTGCGGCTTTAAAGCACCTACAATGGACGAGAACAAAATGCACCCACAGAATTGAATCACTCCACTCTATTTGGACCTGTCCTAATTAAATCATATTCAAAATGTCTCTGATCTTTTCTCTAAATATGAAGAGGAACTTGAATTGTTCATATATATGACACAATATATATATATTGTATATATAATATATATATATTCTGTCAATTAAATTAAATTAACACCCACCTTTTCGTACCTTACAAAATAGAGATCACACAGATTCTACATGACAAAGGAGTTTCACAGAAGGACTCCACTTCTAAACCCTTCTGTCCTTAAACTAATGTTTGGTCCCTTAACTATTAATATGACTTATTTAATGAGAATAATTCTTGCATTGGATATAGTGCTTCATCGCATCATCAAAATGTCTCAAAGGGCTTCACAGGATTTACCATAAAGTATAGTGATAGTATTTCCAGTCAAACTATTTAGTGATTAGTGAGAAATTACTTATTGTGGATATTGCATAACCAAAATATGATGAATGCAGAAGCAATCTTGCATCTGAGCAAATGCAATCTGTTCAAATACTGCAAGTAAAGAGCATTTTTGCTAACACTGGGTTATTTAGAAATGCAAGAAATTTGATTTACAGTAGTTGTCACATCAAAGTATTTCAAAAGATGAAAGGGAAAGTAGTTCACGGGATACGACTGAACATTTAACTCAAACCAAAACTGGTTGTACCAACATAATTACAAGCAGCCCCGCATACTGAACAATCTGCCATTTGTTACTCTCTCCCTATATATTTTGAACTGCTGTAACATTGTACCACTAAATGCTTTCGCCATCAAATATCCACCCATTTACCCGCTACTTTCTCCAGGAGGGAAGAAACCCAACAAACGTTCTTGGCATTCCAACATTTCAAATACAATGGTCGACTGTAATTCCTCAGTCTGACCAGTCACTGTGGGAGGGGACAGGTGGATTCACCATTTGTTAGTTCAAATATTAAGTGACAAATAGCTTGGGGATATTAAGTGATACTGTATAAATTAGTTAACCATGCAATCAAAGCTGTGGTTGAACGTCAGCCCATCTGTGCCAATTCTGATTAAAGTGTAATCAATTTATAGCAAAGCGGTGATAAACTGTGTAGACATTTCAAATATGTAAATATGAGAAAACAGTTTTAAAGTATAAAGTGAACTGTTGCTGAGAGTTCAAAAGGTTTGTGGAAATAGAGGTAACATGCTCAGTGGATTGACTTCTTCTGCAGTGCATTAAAATGCTGTGACACTAAGTATTTGGAAGCCAGCTCAGGCCCATGATCTTCCACACAATGATCTAATCTGAACCATCCTGCTTGGGAAGGATGCCAAATAGGGGCCCGGGACTTTCCAAACGGGGGGAACTCGCAAAAATTCTCAATGTCAGAAGACAAATCATCCAATAACACGTGTCAGTTACAGTGCTGGACAGCTTGGGGCAAGTCCCCTGCTTTCTTGACCCCATACGGAGTGGGAACGTACCCTAAAGAAGCTTTGTATAATGTTTCGGGGCGGGAGAGAAGCGTGGGGAGAGAAGAAATGAGAACACATGTACACATTTGCAGAACATCTCACTCAACAAGCTCACAACCCCCATATTCGAAATGTATAACCCACCCAACTACCCAGATTAGACACTGCTCATGAGAAATTCATTGCAAGTGGGGGACTGTGAATCCAAACCATGACAATGTACGAGGGAAAGCAATCCATGATCGAGAGCTGGGGGTTGGGGGGGTGGGGGGGGGTGGGGGGAGAGTGGTAGCAGGAAAATGTCCAGGACACGCATGAAGGATGGGTTTGAGGGGCTTCAGGTTTGAGGGTGGGGCGATCATTGCTTTCAGAAAGGGGGTGGGTAGTCCAGTAGAATGTGAAAGCACACAATTATTGTAATTTCAAAGGTTTTTTAAGCCCAGGAATAAGAGGAGACAATCAATCTCGGCAGAGATTTTTATGCATAGGCACACAATAGACAGGAAAATTTTACGCACAGCCTGAAAACACAGTGCAGGTGAAGATTTTTTTAAACACACACACACACACACATATACAGGCCGAGTGATGCTAGACAATAAGTAGGGAGATTCTTGTGTATGTACTGAAAGGAAGACAATGATATGTAAAGAATGTTTATGCACAGCTGAGTTAATATAGGTGAAGATCTTACACCCAGAATGAAAGGAATACAATTATCTGTAAAGGAGTCATTAGATAGGAAGAATTCTGTTTCCCAAGGCTCAAAGGAGACAGGAGAGGTATTTTTTTTCACAGCTTAAAGGAGACAAAGGAATATTTTTATGCCAAGGCTGAATGAGACATGAGAGGCATATTTCTGTGCCCAAGTTGAAAGGAGACGTGAGAGAATAATATTTTTTTCACAGCTTAAAGGAGACAGAAGAATATTTTTGTGCCCAGGCTGAAAGGAGACACGGAGAGGAATACTTCTTTATTCATCTTCACGAGATGAATACAGGGAGAGACAGAAGAATGTCGTTATTTATTTATTTGTTTTATTTTGACAGTCAGAGGCCAAAAAGCAGACTCGTGAAGTGATGAAATAATCGCACGGTTTAAAAAAAAAGGGCAGCTTTAAAAGGGGAGACATTGGGAGAGGAATATTTTGGGGTCGAAAGGAGACGTGAGAGAGAGAGACAGAGAGAGAGGGGAATATTTTTGATGGCTTAAAAAAGAAAGGGGGGGCGGATGATGAATGAATGTGTGTATGTGCTTTTTTTTTCGCGGTCAAGACTTGAGAAGGAGACATCAGAGAAGGGAAGAATTCTTTTTACAGCCGAAAGGAGACAGTGGTGGTGGTGGTGGGAGTGGTGGGGGGGGTGACATGTTTGTGCTCAGGCTGTGGGGGCTGGATGTCCAGGGTGGAGGGGGGGGATAGGGTAGGGTATAAGGGGGGGTAGGGTATGGGGGGGTAGGGTATAAGCGGGGTGGGTATAAGGGGGTAGGGTATAAGGGGGGGAGGGTATAAGGGGGTGGGTGGGGAGGGGGGTATAAGGGGGATAGGGTATAAGGGGCGGGTGGGGAGGGGGGTTGGGTATAAGGGGGGGTGGGGAGGAGTAGGGTATGGGGGGGTGGGGAGGGGTAGGGTATGGGGGGTGGGGAGGGGTTGGGTATGGGGGTGTGTGGAGGGGTAGGGTATGGGGGGGGTGGGGAGGGTATAAGGGTGTGGGGGGATGTGGGGGGGGGGGGGGGGTGGGGAGGGTATAAGGGGTGTGGGGATGTGGGGGGGGGTGGGGAGGGTATAAGGGGTGCGGGGGGGGGGGTGGGGGTTGCCCCTCACCTCTCTCAGCTGCTCCAGCTCCTGTTTGACCGTCTCGCACTCGCCCTCCAGCTCCTCGTACTGCAGTTTGAGCGTCTGCTTCTCCTCCAGCACCGCCAGCCCGTACTCGGCCGCCTGGATCTTCTCCCGGGTCGTCTGGCTCAGCTCCCGGCTCAGCCGCTCCAGCTGCCCGCGCAGGCACTCCCCGCCCCCGCCCCCGGCCCCGGCCTCAGCCTCAGCCCCACCGGCACCGGCACCGGCGTCGACGTCCACGGCCACGGCCACCCCGGCCGGCGCCGGCATCGCGTCCATTCGGGTGTCGGGGGCGAACTCGGGAGAGAGAGAGAGGAGTGGAAGGAGTGAGAGGGCAGTGAGTGAGGGAGTGAGTGAGAGAGAGAGAGGGGAAGGTGTGCAGTGTCACCTCAGCAGTCGGTTAGAGCTGCTCGAGGCCGCGCATCGCTCCCCCTCTCTCTCCCCCGCCCTCAGGCACAGGGCGGCGACGGGAGGAACCGACTGCTTCTCCCCCTCTCTCTCTCTCTCTCTCCCCTCTCGTCGTCGTCGTCGTCTTCTCCTCTCTCCTTCTCTCTTCTCCTTCACCGCTTCCTTCCTTCCTTCCCTCTCTCTCTCTCCCTCTCTCCCCCCCTCTCCCTGTCCTTATTTCTCTTCACTTCTTTAATCTTTTTCTTTCGCTCCTTCCTTCTATTCTTTGCTCTGTATTTTTTTTTGGGGGGGGGTTGTTGTTTCTCCTCTCTCTCTCTTATTTACCCTCTGTTACACTCTGTCTCTCTCTCTCTTCTCTCTGTGTCTGTCTGTCAGACGGGCGGCGGTGTCTCCGACCCTCTCACGGCGCCGCCATTGTCCAACCGCCACCCGGCTTGACGTCACCAGCCGCCGCGTGCCGGCAGCGGACCACGCCCACCCGGCCACAGGCCACGCCCACCCGGCCACAGGCCACGCCCACCCGGCCACAGACCACGCCCGCCCGGCCACAGACAACGCCCACTTAGCCACAGACCACGCCCACTCAACCACAGGCCGCGCCCGCCCAGCCACAGGCCACGCCCACTCAGCCACAGGCCACGCCCACCCGGCCACGGGCCACGCCCGCTCAGCCACGGGCCACGCCCACCCGGTCACGGACCACGCCGACCCAGCCACAGGCCGCGCCCGCTCAGCCACAGGCCACGCCCACCCGGCCACGGGCCACGCCCGCTCAGCCACAGGCCGCGCCCACCTGGTCACGGACCACGCCGACCCAGCCACAGGCCGCGCCCGCTCAGCCACAGGCCACGCCCACCCGGTCACGGACCACGCCGACCCAGCCACGGGCCTCGCCCGCTCAGCCACAGGCCGCGCCCACCCGGTCACGGACCACGCCCGCCCCCACCCGTCCACGGACGGCACCCGCCGACCGCCCTCATACAGCCGCCAACGATCCTGAGATTCCCCACACTACTCCCCCTGTCACAGAGCTCTGCCGACAAATTCAACCCCGGCCACGCAGCCCGATGGCGATGGCGATGGCGGTCCTATAGGCGGAAAAGAAATACACGTATCATTCACTGCATCTTATCTCTGGGCCGCCCTGCTTTTGTGCGTTGATTTAATATTCAAACATCTGAGATTCTTCAAAAGGAAAGAAAGTGAACCTTTTGCATAGCATAATTATCCGTGGATGTGCATTCCAGTGAGCTATCACCCGTCTCAGTCCCTCACCTTTGTCAGATGCCTTGGAATAATTAATACTGTGCTCGTGTATTTTTGCATTCAGCTTCAATTGCTTGATGGAAGCAATCATATGGTAAATTTGATGCAAGTGCCAGATTTCTTCCTTATATAGTCAGTTTCTCAGCGGTGTTGTCAGTGAGTGGTTTATATAAAAGTTGTGTCTGCGCTTCGGAAGAGAATGGGGGTGGGGAGGGGAGAGCGCAAGAGAAAGGGTTAGATGGAGTATGTTGGAAACGGTTCAGATCATCGCAGCCTGGAAATTTCGACGTGGAAAAGCACTCAAAGAAAGCTGTGAACGAACAAGGGACGCAAAAATATTTTTTTAATATGTGAAATTTAAAAAAAAAAAACCCGAATTGCTGAATTTAGCCAGAAAATCACAGTTTAATGAGTCAACGCTTTCTTCCAAAAAGTATACATCATCTTAGTCGATCACGATAGGATATGACTCACTTGAAATGCCTGGACTGCAATACAATAAGCAGTTGTAGCTTTCAAATCAAAATTACTGCCATCATTGTTATTCGAGGTTTACTAATCCTAAGCGCTCTGAGACGCCGTCCGGCGTGGAGGGCGCTATATAAATCCAAGTTGTTGTTGTTTACACGTGTCTGTGTGGTGGGGGTGGGGGTGGGGGTGGAGTGAGGTGTTTCAGTATTGCTTTGGTCATAATCCCTTCAACGATTACAAATAAAGAAATAATTTGGCCGCTCATTTCCACGACTGTTTGTGGGACGCAATTGGCTGCCGCGTTTCGCCCACAAAGTATAGTCAATTCACTTTACAGTATATTCTACGAAGCGCATTCAAACAGCTCAACGAGGCGATAAGGCGCTGTATCAGAGAGACAAAAAAGTGTTCTGAAATGTGGCTTTCTGTGGCTGTTGTCAGTTCTCACCGAGTTTCCTAAGCCTTGAATTGATCCAACGTTAGGTCAAGTTTTTTTTTGTTAAACAAGTCAAGTGGGCAAGGTTTTTGGGTGGTCTTTGTGCCAGTCCATGTCATGGAAAACCGCAAGTCCCAGAATACTTTTATGCTCCCTCCCCTCACGCGCACACATTAAGGATTTTCTGACTCCAGCATTTCCATTGGTTGCTATTATTTCGAAAGTTTCCGGACAGAAAACACCGCGTTTCCCTGTTTGTTGCCTTCTTTGAAAAAGCTGTTTCCTTAGCAACAATCAGCCTCCGGGTAGATATTTATTTTGGCTGCTGTGCAGCCCTGATTCCCATCGCATCCCATCCCATCTCTCCCAATGCTCGTCCCTGACTGTTGTCTCTTACTTTCTTCCACAAACTGGCAAGAAAATTCTGAACCAATCGATGAATAAAATACCGGTTACTCCTAAAAACAAATCAATAAAATAATAATAATTTGGTCACTCAATCCACCACTGTTTGTGGGACACCGCTGTGTGCAATTGGCTGCCTCCTTTCGCCCACAAAATACACGGTCGCCGCACTTTGCAGTATATCCCGTGAAGCATTTTGAGACGTCTCAACGACATGATAAGGCGCTCTATCAAATGCAACGATTATTACTCCTAAAGGTGGTTCAAGGGCAGTTGATAAAAATGCATTGAGCCACAGTCGCTGGAGGGAAAATCGTATCAATTACAGGCAAGAAGGGAGTATCGATCCATCCGGTCTGCTCGGTGAATCTCCAACAAAGATCTCGTCCAGATAAGATCGATCTGAAACCTCTTTCGCTGGCAGGAATGTGTCTGTCGTTGGCTTTTTAAACCCCGTTCCTCGGCTAATGTTTACGCCTTACACTCGCCAGGTGTCGGCTTACCCAGCGTTAGCCAGGAAACTGAGTGGAGGAACAGAAGCCTCTTCGCCGAGGGAGAGCTAGAATGCGCAGGGCTTCACTCCAACCAGTTGCTCTTTGCACGACGTTAGTTAAGGGGGAGCGTGAAGGTATTCGTAGCTGCCAGGCCACACAGGTAACTGGAGTCTCACACTGCACCATTACGTTTAAAGGGACAAATATGTTATTAAACAATGTAATGATAAAGCCTGGCTAATCAAACTCAATCGCATTCAAAATCAATCCCCCCCCCCCCCCCGACACACACACACACACACAATTTTTTTTATCAGGCCACAATGTGACTTAGCTTCAACAAGGATCAACTCAGAGTCCTGTGGTTCAGTGTTTCGAGTGCTCACCTCGCAGGCGAGAGGACCCAGGTTCGATTCCCGGGGCAGAGCGAAACCTTAGGCATTTTCTTTACTCCACACGCCTCTGTTTAGCGAGCAGTAAGTAGGAATCCAGTTGTTAGTTGACTGACGGATCACTTTCCGGGGGTAATAATACCTCCCAGAAAAAATATTGGGTTAACCCAATCCACGACTGTTTGTGGGACACTGCTGTGCGCAATTGGCTGCTGCATTTTGCCCAGAAAATATACAGTCAATTGATTTTACAATATATTCTGTGAAGCGCTTTGGGACGTCTCAACGACACGATAAGGCGCTCTATGAAATGCAAGGATTATTATTATTATTAACTTCATTAAGATCAAATCCCATCGATAGTGAAACAACTGTTAGGCGTAAATTTTCAGCCGATGTCATTTCAGTTCAAGCCCCGTTACCATTCGACTCTTTGCTGCGATCACTATTTTTTGTTGTTAAATATCATATCATGAGCAGAATGGTTGTGCAAAACTGTGCGAAAGCACAATGGAACCTGTTGATCTGTTCCCTCCACCCCCACTTTCCCACTTGCATTGACCTCCCCCCTCTCCGCCCCCCCCCCCACCCCCACCACTCTCCCCCCACACTGCGGCATTGGGGATAGAGAGACTCAACATCCCCAGGGTGTGCAGAGTGGAACAAGCGAGCTGTTTGTTCCAGAGCCGCACACTGAAATCATTCAGCCTCACAGTTGTGACGCACGTTTTGCTTTTGACAAATAACAATACTGTAAATCCCACAAAAGATAGACGTCGGAAAAAGCTCCGCAAACTAAAACCGTTCAGGTTAAAAGTGAACGCGTTTAGATGGGCAAACGCGGCAGCTAATCCGTGCCCTAGAAGCAACAATGAGACCAGAAGCCGACAAATCTCCAACAATCCCCCAAATAAAACTGGTCACTCGTTTGGGGCTGTTGGGTGGGACATCGCTCTACGCATTTGCCGACGAATACACAGTCGCCACATTTTTACAGTAAATCCTTTTGAAGCGCTTTGAGACGTTATTTTGACGTGATAAGGCACTATACCAAAATGCAGGGATTATTATTATTATTATGTTCCTAAAAATTTGAACTCGGGGGTAAATTTTGATGAGATTATAAATCAGGAAAACCGGGAAAATACACGTATACACACACGCGCGCGCGTATAGTTAACCGCAGAGGTAAAGCGTGTACATTTTCAATGACAATAACGGACGATCCTGAACGCTCTGAGTTGGCGAGAGTTAGTGAAATCCGGTTGACGGACTGAGTGAGCCCTTTTTCCCTTCCTGTGCCCCGGGTTCGGGATCTTGCTTTTAATGATTCCAGCGAACAATGTGAGCACCCGCTATGGGGGCTGAGCAGCAAAGCTGATGTGTATCCGAAATGTTGCTTGTTAATTTCCA